ACAAAGAGCAGCCCTAAGAAGCAGAGGCACAATTGTTGCCAACAACCAAAATCAAAAAACACAACGAAATAAAAATCAGAAGAATTGAGGATTAGAGCGGGAACACCACCTCTGCTTTGCCCTTTGTGGCACATGGCACAGGCCATGGGGGTTCGTGATCTCCACAGATAAGAGAAAGCCTTCATGCGTGGCCACCAGCCTCAATCTGAATGTTACAGAGAAACTTCCTCTGTGCTCAGAGTGGTATCTGAAGCCCTGGGTTCCAAGGGCCCATTGTTCCCATCTGCCCTGGATGCAGACAGGCCTGAAAGCCATGGGTCTGGGCAGCTGTGTATTTTGTGGAAGATACAGCAACTCTGGGTTCCCCTGAGATAGATGGCCACCTCTCTTTCCCAGCCCTCCTGGTGGCACTGACTAGCCATGTGAGTTTGGCCTTAGCCTAGCGGTGGCTTGTGGACAGGTTGAAGAGTCATAGTCACAGAGGGGCCTTGGAGGGGTGTCCTCTGCAGGGAAGGGCGGTGGGCACAGGGACGGCCTGCCTGGCATCATTTGAAGGGTAACATGACTCTCACTCACCAGTGGGTTGGAGGTGAGGAGCATGGCAGTCCTCCATTTCCTGAGCACCTACTGTGTGCTAATCCTCTGCCAGACACTGGGGACATGAAAGCAGAAAGGCAGGGTCGCTGCCCTGGAGCCGCAGGAAGACTCAAAAACAGATGCTTCTCATGTCATTGTGCTGGGCCTTTCCCCCAAGCCTGTAGACACCACCAACAGAGAAAAGTCTTTTCCATTCCCGCTGTGTCCCCAGCACCCAGCACAGGGCTGACCCCCAGGAGAAGGGCAATTCAAATCTATTGGCTGGATAAATAAATGAACTACGTCCAGTGAGAGCCCAAAGGAGGAAGTAAACAACTCTGCTTGCAAAGTATTTTCGCAAGAGAAGCTTGAGCTGGACCTCAAAGGACAGAGTTGTCAGTGCAGACAAGAGGAGAGAGAATCCCATGCAGAGAGAGCACTGCATGCAAAGGCCTGGACAGGGGAAGCCCAAGGAGGCCAATGTCTTGCACACAGGTCCTGTGGAAGATGGTGCTGCAAGAGAGGGCCAGGTTCACGGTCGACCTTGTGTGCCTTGTGAGGGTCCTAGAGTTTATGGGACCAACTTGCATTTAGAAAGCTGACTGTGAGAACCATAAGAACAGGTCAGCTTTCAATGGGCGGCAAGACAGGCTCATCAGACAGCCCAGAAGAGTCCCTCCCAGGCCCTCTGGGACCTGCACCACATCAGGAGCAGTATTTGCTTAGAAAAAATTCTCCACAGATACTGACTTTTTTTTGGCATAGCTGGGTCCTGAATCCAGGTCTTCTGATCCTTCCATTTCTTTTACATAAAGAGCTCTCCAAATATTTAGTCAAAGAGTTTTGGAAAACCCTTTTAAAAATTAATATTAATTTGAAATTATAATTTAAATTTAATGTTGTTGATTTAATGAAAATTAAAATTTAATTAAGCTTCAGTTTACTACATCTTTTTAATTCTGGTCTTCAGCTCACTTTGTACCAAAGGTTTAATCTTTCAAAAAATGACCTTGGGAACTATAAGATCAATAGGGTTTATCTTAATAAGGAATGTATCAAATACTCACTTTTTCAAATCATGGCTACTCAGAACTAGGCATTTTAAGTAGTTCTAGTGTCAATAAGTTTGTTATGCCTGCATTTTAAAATATTTGCCTGCCAGGCTCGGTGGCTCAGCCTGTAATCCCGTGCCTTTGGGAGGCTGAGGTGAGTGGATTGCCTGAGCCCGCGGGTTCAAGACCCGCCTGGACAACTTGGCGAGACCTCATCTCTACAATAAATCAAAAATGAGCTGGGTATGGTAGCGCGCGCCTGTAGTTCCAGCTACTCAGAAGGCTGAGGCGGAAGGATCACCAGAGCCCAGCAGGTCGAGGCTGCGGTGGCCGGGAGCGGCCACTGCACTCCAGTCTGGGTGACAAAGTGAGACTCCAACTCAAAAAAAAAAAAAAATATTTGCCTGTGTGCCATTCAGTTTCCAAATGTTTCTGATTAAATGAACATGAATGTTGGATTGGATTCATATTTTTTTAACCTATATCTGGCCTGGTTTTTCTACCCATGTTTGCAAGAGTGGAAACAGTAGATTTCACAGCTGACATCAGGTTACTGAGGCACCTAATCATTATTCATTTAGGCCTCGGTGGCCCCCAGTTGGCTCCGGTAGAGACCTGACCTTATCTTTGATGTGTTCAAAGCCAGTGATCTCTACCCTGATGCTCAGGAAGTCCACAGCCACGCAGTCTCTTTGTTCTCTTCTTATTGTAAAACCAGCCGTGAGGGCCCCTCTTTCCAAGGCCCATGCTTTTGAAGCTCAGCGCCTCTCCAGATGCCTGTGAATTTAGCACTGTTTGATGGGGCAACCACCTGGAGTGCCAGGCAGGTGGGGCACAGCTGAAGGAGAGTGTCCTGCTTGGCAAGGCCAGGCCACCCAGAGGCCTTGGGATGGTGCCACAGCTGTTCAGTTATCCTACAGGAAAGCTTGGACCTCAGAAAGAGGAAGAGCGGAGAGGCTGCTGTATGCTCCTGCCATGGCCCTGACCTGCCCTCCACATTGTCTTCTCTGCCTCCGGCATGGAACTTTCATTTTCCATGAATAGTTCATGGCTGGGAGAAGCTCAAAGTGTTCTCTCTACCACTGGGATTGGTATTTTCTTAAACTAAAGGGCTAGCAGCAGATTGCAAGCCTCTAACAACCTCTTAAAGAAGACTAGGGACAGGAGGTAGGGGCAGGGCATACCTGTTGGAGCCCCTGAGTCCTGACATATGAGTCCTGGGTTCTGTCAGTGAGTGAGAACAGCCCCTTGAGGGGCAGAAAGGTGCAGCTCTCTAGATGCCATCCGCTGTTCTAAATCACAAGGTCCGGTGCAGTGACTCACACCTATAATCCCAGCACTCTGGGAGGCCAAGGTGGGAGGATTGCTTGAGCCCAGGAGTTCAAGACCAGCCTATGCAACATAGTGAGACCTTGTCTCTACAAAAAAATGTTTTAAAAGTTAGCCTGCCGTTGCAGCTTATACCTGTAGTACCAGCTACTCGGGAGGCTGAGATGGAACGATTACCTGAGCCCAGGATGTCGAGGCTGCAGTGAATCATGATCATGCTACTGCACTCTGGAGCTTGGATGACAAGAGTTAAGACCCTAACTCAAAAAAGAAAGAAAAATCCAGGTGCTTAACATGCAAACACTTCGGTGCTGGGTGTTTTGTGATGAGGCCCTTTCACCTGAGCAAACTGTGTTCTCTAAATTAAGCTCTTTATCATACAGGTGAGAGTATTTGAGTGCATTAGAAAGAGGCACCTATGCATGTGTGCATCCCGGCATATTTATGGGTACCCTAGAGCAGGGTTCTCAAACTGTAAAGTGCATGAATCACTGCAGACTCTCAGGAATATGCACATTCTCAGTAGTCAGGAAGAGCAGAGGACCTTCTTCCTGGCTCAGCTCTGAGATGATATGAATACCACATGGACCGCCCTTGAATAAGTGTTTCTCAATTTTAGCTGCAGATTCTCAAACCTGGGGGGAGGGCTTTCAGAAACCTTAATGCCAGTCTGTACCCCCCACTAATGAAATTGAATCTCTGAGGGTGGGACCAGGATATCAGTAGTTCTGTAACTCCCCAAGTGATTCTTGAACTAGTGGACTTTGCGGGAGGGATCTGAGCAGATGACAGGACTAAGTCCTATGTTTGCAAATCAACCCAAAGTACCTTGCACCTGCTGCTCTCAGACAGTGTGTGCTTTAAGTATGAGTTAAAATGAATGGTGACCTTTAATGTTCCTGGCTCTGAAGTGTCGCAGGACTAATCCAGACATTGGGGTCTGCTCAGCCTGTGTTTATCAGCAGCAGAGTCTCAGCTGCAGCCCTCAAGGGTGTTCTTTCTAGTCTCCATCCGCCCGCGGCCTGTTCTTGATTGTACAGCTAGCTGCCCCAAATTCTTTTTGACAAGCCTAATGGGGCTGTGAGGGGTCTAAGAGAGAATAAAACTGGAAGTTTTATCTTCTCAGAGAGCCAGAGTTCTCAACCCTGCCCACACTGGAATAACCCTGGGCTATTGTGATGTAAGGGATCTGGGACAGGATCCATGCCTCAGGGGTGTTGTAAAAGCTCCCCAGGGGATTCTAAATGAGATAAAATGAAACTTTAAAAATCACACATTTGTATTTGCATCGCCATTTCTAGAACTGGTTCTGAAAAACAATCAAAGGTGCTTTTCATATGATAAAATGTAGAAATGATTTTTAAAACGTATGTAATGATTTTTAAAAATACATATTTTAAAATTCTGTATTTTCACCCCATACCTGGTATTTTTGAGGAGGCCAGGGGACAAAGTAGGAGACACTTGAATTGGGTCTGGGTATACCATCAGGCAAACTAGGGCGCTGTGTTAATGAGGGCAAGGCTAGATGCTGTAGCACATAAACCCAACCCTTGTGACTTCACACAATAGGATTCTGGTGTTCATGTACCTGTGTGAGCCGTGAAGAGTGAGGGGACAGCCCTCTCTGAGCTGTCATTCAGGGCCCCCACTTGTGGCCTCCAAAGTGGCCCTGGTGGTCTTTGCAGAGGGAGCAGTGGACTGGGCTCCTAGGGGTGGTGGACTGGCTGGGCAGGGAACAGTGGACTGAGTGGGCGGGGCCACATGTGCTTGTACCCCATTGGTCAGAGCTCAGTCACTTGGACACTCGGGCCAGTGTGACTGGCCCAAGCACAGGAGCACGAGACCAGGCGTGATGGGTCCACCTCTCCTTGCCCCGACGCACATGTGCATCCAGTGTCAGGTGTCCTCCCCGATGGCATGGCCACAGCACCCCAAGTTGTAGACACCCAACACCCGGGTCAACCAAGGTGGTGGAGGGAGCCCGAGGAGGCCAAGTGATGATCTGAAGGATGTGTGCTCTTTTTCTTTGTTTCTCTGCAGATATCGCCAACGGCACCAGTTCCGGGGGGTACCGCCCACCTCCCAGAACCAAAGAAGTCATCATCAATGGCCAGACCGTGAAACTGAAATACTGTTTCACCTGCAAGATTTTCCGGCCCCCTCGTGCCTCTCATTGTAGCCTTTGTGATAACTGCGTAGGTGAGTAGCAGTGGACACTGCCCACCTGCCTCCCGTGTTTGGGGTAAAGGTCTCTTGAATCATTCACTTTTGAAAAACTCAATAATAGTTAATATGTCAACGCATTTGCCTCTTCCCACGGATCTGATTCTCCGGGCCTAGAGTCACCAGATCGCTTCTTTGTTCTTTTTGACATACCCTAGGCCCCCACCTCTAGCACGCACCAAAGCGGGGGTCATTTGTTCCCCGGGACCACCAGATCAGCAGGCACTTGAAATGAATCCAGTTCACCGCTAGGTCTCTTGATTGCCCAAGGGCTGGCCACAAACCTGTGTGATGTTCTTTGTGCAGCAGAGGGACAGATGGTGGGCACCTGGGGACATTGGTTGTCAAGGAGAGGAAAAGAGGCAGAGGCCAGGAGATGTCCTCTTCTGAAGGTCAGATTTAGAATCTTTAATCTTCTTAGAGACCACCAAGACCGCCCCTCTATCTACCAGCTTTCCCCAAAACAGATTAGTGAAACAGGGAGTGAGAACTGAGAGCACGGAGACCTCAGTGGCAAGATGTGACCCTACCATTGACTCAGCACGGGGTTTCTACAAGTAACATAAGTCCCAGCCCTTAGGAGTTATCTGGCAAGTGCTTCTTGTCACTTCAGACTGAGGGCTGCTACTCACACCACAGACCTTCTTCTCTCTTAGGCTGGAGCTCCTTAGAGATGAGGTTGACGAGGAGATGGCAGAATGCACAAGTGACAGGAAAGTAGTGAAAAAAGGATGGCAGCTTTGCCACAGTAGGGAGACCCACACTTCTTAAGCTCCATGGTCTGCATCTAGCAGAAGTGACCAAGGTCCCAAGGCCTTACTCTCCTGGGAGAATAAGCAAGGAAGGTTCGTGTTATCTCATACCTGAGAGGACAGGGATATGCTTAGAATAAACCTTGTTTCCCCTAGTAACGCAGTACTGATTGCCAGTGTTCTTCTTGAGTCTTAGAGTTTGTAGTCTCGATTCTTGAGAAAGATCAAATTTTATAATGTATTAACTGCTGTGCAAAGCAGTCTTTCTTTTGTTCGTCTTAAATTTCCTTTATGCTAACTTTAATCATTTAAAATTTGATACAGAGTATATGTTTCCCCTATCAGGCCTTGACTTGGTTTATTAACTTAGAGAAATCACTTTTAGCCCTTGTCCCCTGCAATGGAACAGTGTGAAATTTGTTTCATTTCTCCCTTGTAGTAAGTAGCCGATAGTTAAGAAACCGGGATCTGGTGCTGGATGGCCGAGGTTCAGTACCAGCTGCGTGACTAGATTTAAACTCTCTAGGCCTCAATTTTCTCATCTCTACAGTGGCATTAATAACAATGCCTACCTCATGGGATAACTGATAGACTAAATGAGCGGATGTGTGTATAGTGCATAGACAGTGCCTGGCATGTAGCCAATGCTCTGTAATTGTTGGCTGCTACTGTTGCTATTACTACTGCTCCATTGGTATTCTGGATTGGTTTTCTCTGGCCAGGGTCTTGATCAGCTATAGCCCTCTATGGATGTGATGACCAAAACTACTCCTAATCCTTCGTGTGGGTACACACCAGAGTTTTTGCAAAGATACATGACAACCTTTGATTTGATACCTTTCCGGTGATGCCAGCCCCAGTGGCCATCCCGTACCCATCTTGGGAACTCTTTACACCAAAGCAGCACAGCGTCTTAAATATATTCAGAGGAACAGTCTGCGTATAGGAATTCTCAGGGCCCTTTCTTGGGTGTAATTTTGGCCTCTGGGACTATGATATGATGGAATCATTTGCAACATATACTTGTTCACGTAAACTCTTCTGTTATTTTACATACCTTCTGCTGGGAGTCTCATGACTTATTCCCATCTGCATTTTGATAGGTAGGGAGTTGTTTTCTACAACTCTGAAGAATTTACTGGGCACTTCTTTTGCTTTACCATTCATAAAACTTTTTACCCGTTTCTAAACATCCCAACGCCTCCACTCATTCATTTTTATAAACTGATCTCAGTTTTCTGTTTCCTGTCTCCAGGCTAGATTTTTTTTTTTTTTTTTTTTTTTTTTGAGTCAAAGTCTCACTCTGTCACCCAGGCTGGAGTGCAGTGGCACACTCACAGCCACCCCAGCATTATCGATCTGCTGGACTCAGGCGGTCCTTCTGCCTTAGCCTTCGAAGTAACTGCAGGAGCATGCTACCATGCCCGGCTAATTTTTTTGATATATTGTACAGACAAGATCTCACCAAGTTGCCCAGGTTGGTCTTGAACCCCTGGGTTCAGGCAATCCACTTGCCTCAGCCTCCCAAAGTGCGGGATTACAGGCTTAAGCCACCGCGCCCGGCCTGTATTAGATTTTTAATCATAAAAACTTTCTTCCCCATCTCATGTGACTTACTGTTTTAAAATTCCTTTGGGAGTATTGTCAGACATGTTCTAAAAGTTCACATAATCACCCGCATTTGTTCCTTTCACTGCCCATAAGTGTACATGTCCCTTAAAGAACCCTGATAAATTAGGTGTAAAATCCCCTTACTAAAATTCTGTGTTGTTCCCCAGCTGATGATGTACTTCTGCCATAGTATGACTATTGAAGATTGTATCTGTGAAACTAGGAGCCCTCAGTCTATAAAAATGGCCAGGAGCCAGACCTGTACTTTTCTGGTAATCAAGTCACAGTGACCACCCAACATCTGCAAGCAAGCATACCGGTGTTCTATACATGGGAGACCCAGAACAGCAAAGGGACAAGGAAAGGAGAGGTGGCATCAAGAGGGAAAGTATGGGGTGGGGTTGAGAGGAGGAAGCCAGGAGCCAAGGTGTCCACCACCAGCAGGGGCCTCTCAGTGACGCTCGGAGGGCCCGGGCCTGTGGAGAATAAGTGACATGCATAGCATATGACTGATTTAAAATAAAGCTGCCACAGTATTCCTCAAGAGACCACACGGTTATTCAAACCCATGTAACTCTGGTTTTCCAGTGAATTAGATAACACTTAGGCCTTTGGCATGGCCGAGGAGCAGAGCCCTGAACTGGAGTTTCTGCTTTTCCGGCAGAGTGGAGGGCAGGTGTCTCCCACTGAGAAGCGTAATTACAGAGTTTGTCACGACTGTATTTTTAGATAGAAGGTTTTTACTGGAAGAATTCTTTTTGCAGCAAGAGAAAAAGTACAATGGTGTGCTGAAGCCAAGATTGGAGCACGTAGCTTCCCACCCCCCATAATGAGTGTGTTTGAGTTGGTATTTCTGGGGCACTATTATTAATATTAATCTCACTCCTTTGCAGTGAGAGAGGAAAGAGGAAAAATGCAGCTTCCCAGGTAGTTTGGAAGTGTAATTTTCTTTGTTAAATAAGTTTAAAGTAAGAACATTTTTAGTCAGAGAGTGAGGGAAGAGCTTTCTTGGGGAGCAAACTCTGGTGCAGATATAGAGCTGGTTGGCATAGACTGGTGGTTGGGGACCTGGTTCTCAGGATACCCAGATCAGGGCTGAATCCTGGCCCTGTCACGGAATCATACCGGAACATGGTCAAGTTATCTGAATACTCCTAGCTGTTTCCACATATGTAAAATGAGGTGATCCTTAATGCTACCTCATACGTTTCTTTGAAGAGTTAAGTGAGACAGTGCCTACCACAGCACCCAGCGTAGACCTGGCCACACTAAGGGGATGTGGACACCCAGCTCACCATTGATGTTCTCACTAATAACAGGAAATGCCACCTTCGGTGCTTCTGGAGAAATGATTGATAAAAGACGTCATCACAAAGCAGTTAGGAATCACCTTGTTTTTTCTGTAATCTGCTAGGATTTAGATGATCTGCCATAACAGAAGTGAATATATTCTCTCTCTCTGATGTTGTCTCTGTTTCTCTCTCTCTCTCTAATTCTCTCTTGGTGATGTCACCAAATTGCTTCTGCACATTTGGAACAGAGTATTTTGGGTTGTCGATTCATTCAGGCGATCTTTGAGGTTATGAAATACTTTTAAACAAACAACAGCTGGTGCCAGGGAGCCACCTCTGCTCCCTCAGACCCTCACTTACCTCAAATTGTTAAAGTGGGAGAAGCCAAAGAAGCTGGATAGCAGAGCACACCCTGTGAGGGCTCGTGAGGGCCCCTCAAAGGTCTGTGTACGTTCTAAGGCCACAAGCGTGTGCTCTCCACATTTCTCTGACTGGGTGGGCCCTGGTCAGGTGACAGAATAGCGAGCAACTTTCAGTAGAATTGGGTATTTTAAATACAACCTGAACCTGTGTTTTGTTTGTTCGTTTTTAAAGAGGGACTTACTTGAAATTGATGTAATCACACACTGTGGACAAACTTATAAGAAAGTTTGCTAAACGCGAAGATGTAACATTGCAGGCATTTGCAAACCGGTTATACAAGAATCCATCTAACTCTGACCAGACAGAGGCAGCTTAGCCTAGAGGCTGAGAGGTGGAAGTAGCCCATGGAGCCCTCAGGCTATGCAGGCGCCTGGGGAGCACTGGGCAGCGCCAGCCTCCTCCCTCACACAGGGCGTGCCTGGTCCTGTTGGCTTCTGTCCCCTTTGTCTTTTCTGGTGTGGGTGTCATGAAGAACCACCAGACACCCTCTGCAGGGACTCTGTGTGCAGTTACTATTGGTCCGGGGAGGGCTTCACCACCCTAAGATCCTTACGAATTTCCCTGCTTATCCCCGCCTCTTTCTTGCTGTGCGTTCTCTCACTCAGCCACACACTTGTCTTCTGACCCACGGCATCTCCCTCCTGCTGCTCTCACTGCTCCCTCTGTGTGTGCACAGCACACCTTGCCCTGAGGACCCAGTCATGCTTTACCATGTACTCAACTTTAAGAGGGTTGACATGGCAGAGGTTTGGCCTGACAGCTGCCTTCTGGTGTGGGGCAGCATTCTAGAATTTCTTCGTAACTATTTGGGTGTAGTAAGAGGGCTATTAATTTCTCATGGGACAGTATGCTATCTGGGGGGACTAGAGGGAGTTGGCATATGTTTCCTCCTAGGAAC